AAGGATTACGCGTTAGTGGTCATAAAACCCGTTAAACAAAAAATCATATCGATAACGACAGCTTAACTGTCCAACTCTGAACCACGCAGAAGGTTTCTCTTTTAGTTAGTCGTCGCATCGAGATCAACGCGATTAATTTAGTTGCAGAAACAGAGGCGGCGAGTCATTCCCCTGCAGAACGCGCGCTAGAGGGTAAATATATTCGAGGCCGTAAGACGCGTCGCTGGATTCCTCGGGGAATTCGCCATCGGGGTAGCGAAGGGGGAACGCAGGGGATGAAAAAAGTCTATCTTCCCGAGCGCGATATTATCGCCCGAAACTCTTTTTTATCCGAAACGGCGAGGGAGGTGAACGAGAGAGAAATCGTTCTTGCCTCGCGTTGATTAGTTCTGTAGCGATATCTCTCGACCCTACCTTTCGGTCCCAGGAGGAAACCAGATCGAGGAATGCACACCGTCGACGCCAACCAGCCAGTCAGCCCTTAACCGCCCCCTTCTGCGTGTCTCTTCTTTCCTCTCGCGCGCCCCCATCTAGCTCCGTCTCCCTTCGAACACCCTTTTGCTCGGAGCCGTCCGATGCACAGGCTCTTCTGGTAAATAACCCTACGCGGAAAGTTAATGCCGGCAGTCGAGCACGCCGCGAAACTTCACGCCTGCCGCATCGCCTACAGGTCGTTTCTAAAAGAGTGACTCGTCAGATAGCGGAAAAATTTAAAGACAGGGGTGCTAAAGAAAATTAAATGGCGATGAAGAAAAAGATTACAGTCGCTCCTATAAATATTCGTACCCTCCATGTGTATTGAAGAATTTTTACTGGATTAAATAATCGTTTTGATGATATTATTACTATTATTTGGTATTTTTATATAGAATTGATTTCTCTCTACTATTGCCCACTTGCTAATCCAATAACTATATCGTTAATAATTTCGACCGAACAAACATCGAAAACAAATCGTTTCTCATCTTCGATTCCCGACACGAGCGCGTGTTTAGCGGTGTTCGGAGGAGATTAGCCCTCTTCGCTATATTTAATTTCCGTTGTTTGAGGTCTGGATTAGGAAGCGTCGTCGAAATGGTGTTTGCGGAGGTTTTAGCCGTCCGTTATCCGCGAGTTTTATCGAAACGAAGAAGAACGGGGTGGTCGGAGCACCGCGGGAGTTGCCAAAGTCATCGGGCCAGAGGGTGAAATTGGCGCGAGTGGGAAAGTTGCCAGGGAGCATTCGGGGGTTAGTTTGGACGGACCTGTAGTAGACAGCGGGGGTGCGCGCACACACACGGTGCAGAGGGCAAAGCAACCACCGGGGGTGATAGATAACGGGGCGGTCGTGGCCCCTGCTCGCGCTCCGGGCAACTTCGGCCCACCGCCAATAAATTATTCGACGCGCTGTTTTCCGCCAAAGATTGTTTTCCCTTTCCCGAACGCGCGACTCCGGTGCAGCGAAAGAAAGGACGCCACGCACCGAGAGGGGTCGAGCCGAAGAGGGTGTAAAAACTGCGGGGTTGTTGGCGGGGCGTCGACGATGGGAGGGGGGGGGGGGTAATCCAATGTTATTCTGCCTTTCAGTCAACGACACACGCCAGCCCTCCGCTCGACTCGCGAAACAGAGAGACGAGTTTACGGCCTGAAAAGCAACGCTTCCACCTTGCGTCACGCTAAAATCCTGAGTGATATTAAAAACCGTGCCCCTCGCCCTCCAAACCAGAGTAAATGCGCTCGCGAAAAGATCGATCCACTTTACGGGGACTCGTGTCTGAGGATCACTGCTCTATATTTTAGATCTCATCAGCACTCAGCAATGTATAATACAATACATCGAAATGTATCGTACACCCCACAAGAATCTACTGAAAATTCACCGTGCGATAGATTCACCAAAGTTTAAACGTATAATATTTTAACGAAGTAACGCGTTAATGACAAAGGGCAAACTGTCGCAAGGTAAAACTGAAGGAGACCCTACCAAAGGGGCAAAGATCAATCTTTGAGGAATGAAAGAGGGAATCGTTCCGTTTAATTGCCTCAGGTGTGTATATTCACCGTTAAGGAATTCCATGCGAAGCGAGAGACTCGAGGCAAAAGGACGAGGCTCTCCATCGATCTTTCCGTGGAATTGTTTGAATGTCGCCCTTCGGTGCGCGACGAAAGACAGGATTAAAAAGGAAGGATACTCTTTCCACTCGGGCGTTCCCGGCTCATTACGAAGGCGACGAGCTAGCGCACCCTCTTCGACGGACTTTTCTTCTGGTCTGACGAACAAACAGCTTAAATAAACGCACGTGATTGGATCCGATGTATGCGCATCTGGCTACTAAACGCCAGGGGAAGGACCCACTTTTTTTCCCTGGAAGCACGCCGAAGGAACACGCCCCGCTGGCCCGCTTTTTTTTCCCACCCCCTACGTCCTACCCTTCGAGTAGTCTCGAGTAGGCCACTCGGAAGCACGCGGCTTTTCCCGTGCGCAAATTCAGTCAGCCTCCCGACGACTCTCGGCATCCCCCTTCGAAAACTGCCACCGAGTGTGTCGCACGATCGCATTAGATTACCCATCCCTTATCAAGGACGACGCAACCCCTCTGTTTCTGCGCGAGTACCTCTCCGCGCGGAATCGAACTAGTTTGTATACGATACGCCGAAAGTATCACGATTCCAGACAGAATTCTTAGATTTCCTCTTGGTATTTCCGTTCCGGGGGTGGTGAATCGATCACCGAGGGGGGAGGGGAGAAGTATTCCCTTTCCGACGTTTCGATCCTCGCAGGGACACCGATAGAAACACGGGAACTGAATTCGTAGCGCTATCGTGTGGTTTGTTGCGAATGGTTTAGGACTGAATTTTTTGGAGGACCGGTTAGGCTTTCGAAAGGGGGAGTGCATGGAACAGCCATTGTCAAGTCTCGACTTATGTTTCACTGCAGAAGGATTTATAGCATTACAAGTTGTTAAGACAATGCAAACGGCAGGAATTATACTTTGTTCCAAGGTCCACTCGTTGATCTCAGTAAACTGTCCATCAAAAAAGGCAAAGACTTCGATAAACTAAGCTAGATAGCGATTCTAGATGAAAATTCGTATGGAATTATTCCCAACATCGCGTACACTACGCCTCCTGTATATATTTGACGAAGGTAGTTCGAAATGGACAAGAGATCCCAAGCCCGCGATCGTCGAAATTCGAGTGACAACTTTAGAGAGCGGCCTGAAACGGTTCGAGATCGATAGCGAGCCGATGCAACGGCGCAGGGAACAAATCTCGTACCGGTGTAACCGATAACGCGACCGCGATTGCGTCAGGCTGTGCCAGGTTTGGACGATCGGCTGGAACCGACACGACGCGACGCGATCGGAATGCGACGACGAACCGTAACACCTCGAGGAACGATCGGTTATCGTGCCACGCGCGTTTGCACTCCGATAACAAAGGTGCGCTCATGCGAGCCCGCTGATAAACGATTGGACTACCGGGAATCGTCGTGTCGAGACGGCGATAGTCGACACCACGGCGTGTCTAACCGATAACTCGTAATCGTTCGGCTCAGGAGCAATATTTACGGAGCGAGGCGAAACGCGTAGATAGGAATATCGTTCTGTCGACGGGACATCGATCCGTTGGCTACCAGTGTTTACCTCGGATGGGATGTCTCCACGTTCAGTGGAGATTACTGTTTCGTAATCGGCGAGAAATTTCCTAGCATTCGAACGAAGCGCGAGTTGCTTCGTCGCTAACGACGCGAACGATCGAGCAAAGCAAACCAAAAAGTTGGGGTACATAAGGAAAGGGGGTTTATTTGGTGCCTCTTAGGAGGAATATCCAGAAGGCCCAACCAAGATTAAAAAGAGGATCGGTAGGAACGGCGGGAGCGCGTCGGCGTCGTTTATGTCACTTAATTGCGCGTACCACCGCGTTAAAGGGAGTCTTTGACGAGGTCGATAATTACTGTCTGGGCGAGCGTGTGTACAACGACGACGTCGCCGATAACGACGATGCGAATTCGTGCATTCAAGCGTCGTTACTTTGATTATTTCCCAGGTTGGCGGGCGCTCGCGGTTAATTTCACGTTCGTTAGTTGCCCAAAGCACCGAGAGTAACGGGAAAGTTATTTACCGATCCAACGTGGAAGGCACGGGAACGCATGCGATACGTTACGTGCGCTCGATTTGCGAAATTGTTTCGGCTTTTTTGAACGGCTGCCCGTTCCCGCCCCGCCACTTCTCGTCCATCGATTTTCCCACCGCTGAAAGCGCGCACTCCAGGAAATTGGAGCACAAGCTTTCCCCTGGATATCTGATTATTATTTTTTTTTTTTTTTCTTTGTCGATACAGAGTTAAATAGCATTACCCTTTCCCCCTCCCTGCCACTTTCGAGTAAACGTAACCCTTGACCTCGATGTTTACATTACGCGTTACGTTGCTCGATCAACTTCTCCGAGGCATTGCCGGTATAATGGAAATATTGATTTTTAGAGTTCTTGTACCGCACTTGGCGAGCTTGTTTCATTATCATCCGACTCGCTAGAGCGAGCCTGGAGGGCCTCTCGACGAACTGATCGACTTATCCGGTATCGACATTCGCTGGAGAGGGTGCAAAATAATATGCAAGCGATTGTCGACTCATTTTTATGGAAATAGTCGTTGAGGAAATTAATACTTCTATTATAACTGACGAGTCGATGATTTCACGCGATATCAATATTGATTAAAGTCCAGGCTGCATCGAAGCGCGTCAATTCTCGCATCGTTGGACGATATTCTTCGCCCGCGAATTAAGCTTGTTGCCAGAGTATAATCACCGTTGCTATTTGCACGTTTATCATGTTCGTGTAAATTTTCTAGCAAACCAGGACACTGGACGATTCATAACAAATTTTTCCTGGAAATTGTGAAAATATTCTCAGGCATGGTTCTGTCGTGGTTGTACACAGCAATTTACCCAGCAATACTTGTCACTGTTATCTGTGGTACGTGACTGCTACAAGGTCTCGGCGAAGGATCAACGATAATCCTTGCAAAAACTCGTCTTGATAGAAACAACATCGAGACTCGGGACATTACTTTACCTCGAATTCCATTTCCAAGAATCGCGTATTTACTTGATTGGCCTCTAGGCCTGCTCGGTCGTACCACGGGGTGGGGAGGATGAATGGTGGGTTCTTGGCTTTTCCGATTTCTGCGAGCCAGTACGCTAATCACGGTCGAAGCTAACGGTCGCGTTCGACCTTGTTTCGCGAATTTAAATTTCTGCGAACTCGTTCGAAGTGCTGTGATCCTTCTACGATGCCACAACTGGACAACCACACTGGACGTGTTACGAGGACAGGGCGTGCTGACCAGACCTCAATGCGTGGTGAGTCGTAATGATAATTAATCGGTCCAATTAAATATACTTTCGCGATGGAATTTTATATCCATACTAATGAATGTCGTTCGAAATAAACGTGAACTTTGAGTATATTTTGCGAGCTTTAACTATTTCTACTGTGACAGGACAAACGACTAGTTTTAAACACACTTTTCAATGAAATGCAAAAATATTTGACAAGGAATCGAATAATGAGTGAAATAATTGTATATAATTCATATATTGCATGGAATCGTATACAGAAGTTTTGAAAACTGTTGTTTGACTGTTCGTGGTAGGTACAGTGTTGAAGTAAATCAGAATTAGTCAGCTTCGGAGCGAACTAAATACGGACCGAAATAATTAACTTGTTGCACCTGGTGCTCTTACTTTTCGCTTAATCGTTTTCAACCGACCAGAGCAGAAATCGTATACCCTCGCGGCTGTAAACAGATGTCGATTTAACCGTCGCGGTTCCGCGAACGCATATGCGTTTCGATTACATTGACTTTTAACGCTGCGGTAAGAAAACAATGATCGTATCGTGTGCGTTTAACCGGAACGATGCTGTAAGCGCTTTCTCCGAGCGACGTGAACACGAGAGGCGTTAGCCTAACGTGTCGCGCGGGAAGGTAATTTGCATGAAAATGCTGACCGAGAGTGTCGATTTTTATCGTCGTGCCACAGGCCCAAAAATGCTACTGCATAATGTAGCAGAGCATAATGCTCGACAAATCCCTTTATACAGACACCGTGAGATAACTTTGCTCTCTATTTTATTTCTTTACGAATAAATACGCAATTCCCCAACTCGTGCTGCCTTTTATTTAGTTCTACTCATGGAGGCGTAATACAAAATTTTTAATAACTTTGCTTTCGATTACCTATACATTTCAAATTAATTAGAAAAATTTCAAACTCCGCACTTGCGATTTTTCGATATACTTTGCGTCCAAACAGGATCTATTATTCTTAGTACGCAAACTCAGAGATATAAATTTTCGAAATACAAAAATATATTAAACCAGCATTTTGACGGAAATGCCCCTTCCAATCGGTAGACGAGGATCCACTTCGCGAAACGAAAACATGTCGAACGATTGTACCGGAAATAATCAGCCCTGGATTTATGGGAGGGTCTCGAATTCGGACAGTCCGTGAATCGAACTCGCGAAAACGAGGCTCGCGTTCAGTTTACCCGGCGGCAAGTACAACGCGGCCAGAAAATCGACGGGATTGTCAGAGGACAAAAGATCCGCGACGCGGGGATCCATCGCGGCTCCGCAGTCCAGGAATGGTTAATGGTCACGCGTGCGATGGTTACGGGTGATTTGTGAGCGATTGTTCGGCGTCCCGATGCTCGTGATGTTCGCGAGATCGTCGGTTACCGACGCGCGACCTGTGTTCGCGAGTTCATTCTCCCTCCAACCCCCGCTGCTCGATAAATCGAATCTTCTCATCGAAGGTCAAATTTTCCTAGCAAATATTTTCCGAATCGACGCTGAAATCAAGCGTGGTGCTTTTGAGAAGTCACTAGATTGGATTGGATAGAGCCTCGATTGGAAAGTTTGATCATCTGCAGGGGAAAGAATTGAGAGAGTCAAAGGGGTGCAAGTCACTTTTTTCTTTATGTTGGCAAACTATTTTAAAAACTTGACTCGGACAAGTGTGGCTTTCACCCCCTCGATGACTGAACTCTTCGGAGCATGTGTCGCTAGTATTCAACCCCTGATATTATTCACCCTTGTTTCAAAATGCTGTTTTGATATTACTTTAAAAAAAAAATTTTTTAGCGAATCCATTCTACAAGAACATAAATCTCCCTTACGACTACTTTGTTTTACATCAGGTTGCTCGTTCGACAAACGTGCGTCGATTCGAGCGATCGATTAAAGCGTGGACACGAGAAAGGGCCGTGGGGAAGGGCACACATGCACGTGTAAACATATAAAATCGTGTATTATATACGGTAACGCAACGTTTCCGGGCTCATACATAGAGATGCGAGTGATTTCCATACATATCAGTTTCATTTCGTTGGAACGTGCTACCCTACGCTGCGACTGCCATAGCTTTCACGATATGGCGGGGCTATCGGGAGAGGCGCGCGAGGCACCGCGACGTAGGCGTCTAATCTATGGGTATATCGACGCGCTCGACGTTGACTGGGACCCCCATCGAGCGACAGATGTCGTGCACACAATGTTCGTAACGAACGCGGGAAATATTATTATTTCCTTTTAATTCGATTTCATCCGACATGCGGGGAGGGTTGCGCGAAACTCGCCCCTGCGGGGTCGAGCATTTCAGAAAAATGCTCCAACCCTTTTTTTCTGCGATTGCCACCGGCGCGCAAAACCGCGAAGGAAACAGGTCTAGGAAACACTGGTCTTTTTCAAAAATTGGGATGGTAGTTTTCGAAAGTGGAAGTCAATTCCATAAATATTCGTACCCTGTATGTCTATCGAAGAATTTTAATTAAATTAAATAATAGTTTTGATGTTTCCAAATGAACCAGTATCCAAAACAAAAGTAGAAATAAAAATAGCTTGCCACTGTGAATCTTCTCGTTAGACCTGTTCGCCTAAGGAGCGAGGCAACCTCGTACGCCAGTTTAATGAGGCGTAATTGCGCGGAACTGCTTTAGAAAATTTGACTCCGACAGTCGAGGACTCGCGATAGAGAACGAGTTAACTGTGTTCCCGTTACGCGAAGAAATTCGAGTCCCCGGAGTTGGCGGTAACGCGATTCGAAGACGGAAACGGCGCTCGTCGTCGGCTAAATCCTCGCGGAAGCAGAAGCCGGATGTTCTTAGAGCGGAGGCAGAAAATCGAGGACATATATCGAGATAACAGGGCCGCTTCGAGTAATTTTCGGAAGTGGCGAGGATAGCGGGGAGGAAGCCAGCAGTTAGATAATACGATCGCGCGGACAATTTCCATAACTACCATTGTCTTTGCGCAATCGCGTACGCCGTGTTTCCGTCGCGAGTCTCCACGACGGTGTAACCTTCGAAGACGTCTCTGGAGAAGAGGCGTTTTCGACTTAAATCTCCAAACGGCAGATTGCAAGGGGCGACGGAACGTAAAATAAATAACGCCCCCGGAAATCTCTCGATCCGCGCTGCGAGAGACCATTGCGAAACTTTCAACGAGGTCCACTTCAACGTGAACTGGTCTTCCTTCGGAGCTCGTTCGACGGCGCGTTATTTATTTATTATTAATGCAAACGGTGGGTCGTCGGCGCGGTTGGGAATAATATAAATTGGAGGGCCTCTCCTTTAGAATGCAGGTTGTCGAATATGTGGGTGGGGTGTAAATATGGTAGCTGGGATAAATTGTTCGTTGCGATAATTTAATGCCCTATAACAGAACATGATCGACACTTGAAATTTTCATTCTTAAACGGTGAGAAAAAATTATACATAGGGGTTACGATCTACCAAGTTGCATTCACGTTTTTCCTTGTTCAACTTCACGAGCAACCTTCGTTCGCGATTCTTTCTAACTGAGGTTTCAATTTAATTCAGAAAATGTGCGGTTCGATTTACGATACACAGAATATATTTTATTGATATAGACCCAGTCAGTGTTGCTACCATTCAGAATAGCTTTCATTTAGCACATCTGTTTGCAATGTCTACGTCACCTTCGACAGACCGTAATTTCGAGGAGCAATTCCCATAGCCTTCCCCATAATCGTGACGCGTCTATCGCGCGCGATCACCTACTTAACGAGACATAAATCTAGGAAATTCGCGTCGAAGTGTTATCGCGCTTGTCGAAGGGTAATCGACGTTCCCATGGCGTTATAAAATCGCATCAAAGCGTATAATGCGAAATCCCGTAATCCGCGACGCTCCACGCGACGTCCGCGCGGCGAGTCGAGCGGAAACCCGAGCGTGATTGATTCCTTAATAATTGCACGGAGGATTCCCGTTGGGCCAGGCCTCGCGAGCACGCGGGGGCGGTGGCTCGATAATGCAAATTTCTGCCGCGAGGGTGAGACGTGTCGGTAGTCGCAGTAATTATGTATGGGGTCTCGGCGTGGGCGAAAGACAGAGACAAACAGTCGCGAGGGAACGAGAAGAGAACGAGAGAAAGTAACGCCACGACGAGATATGTACAAGCAGGGGGGTGTCACTCGCAGCTGTGTCGACCCCACGCCGCGAACCACCCCCGAAACGAAGGAGTAACAGCAGTCACTCGGTCATTAAGGGGCGTGATCGTTGTTTGATTGCGGAGGTCGAGCCTACCTTTTTCACCCTTTCGATCAACCACTCCAAACCTGGGGTTGTGCTTCTACGAGCCTGTTTCACGGGATGCCCACCTCCCTAATCCGCCATATGAATATGACAGGAAAGCAGCATGGGTCTCGAACGCTATTGTAAAAAGAAGTCGAAAAGTCCTTTACCATTTTGTTATGCGATGCTTCGTTATCTAAATACAAGCAGTTAAAGTTCACTGGTGAACGACCAAGCTCACGATCAGCTGATTCTGCTTGCGCACGCATCTACGTACACGTGGTTTTACCCGCGCCAAAAGTTAAGCTGCTTGTTTCTTGGCAACGAAACATCGAATTGCGAAATGAAAAAGAACTTTTCGATTCACGCGTGCGTGTGTGTGTGTGTGTGTGTGTATGTGTATGAAGAATTGATTCCATTGTAAAGTACAGAATATTTTCACGAAATTCGTCAGATTTAATATATCGATATTTGCGGAAAACCTGAAATTTCACATGCGACTTCCACCATCGTAATCCCCAGGCGAATTTGATGGACGGCCTGTACGCGTTCCAAACGCCAACGACCGGACAATCGGGGTTTACCTATTCCCTATGTTCGACGCGAGCGTGGAAAAAGCTGCGCGAGCGATAACCAGCCGCGGCGTGTTCGTTCCGCCAGCCGCGTTATTTTTGCCCACGTTTTAACCGGTAATCGATACGCCATTTGCATAATTACCGGGAAACGACCGGCAATCTGTTCGCGCATATATCCATCTTTCTCC